CTTTCCCCCCTTAAAGCAGGGCTTACTTGTATCAGGCTTCCAGGGCCTTGTCCATTTGAGTTTTGAGTGTTCCCAAGGATGGCTATTTCACAACACCTCTGTTGGCATGTTTGATTACTCCCATTTTAATTATTTTTCCTAATGTCTAATTGAAATTTCCTTTGTTGCAACTGGCTTTCATTCCCTCTTGTCCTGTCACTGCTCACCTCCAAGAAGAGTGGTGTTAATCCTATTTGCAGAGTCAGCTTTGTTTGGTTCAGTTACCAGCACAAAACGTTCGGGCCTTATCGTAAGACCATTTTGAACATTGGCTATTTTGAACAACTTGCAGTGACTAACAGGGACTTAACCACTGGCATGGAATTGGCCTTTATCAGTGCAACTGAAATAGTTCACAGATGTTCTTTTGTTTCTGTGTGTGTACTGCAAGGACTGCAGAAGCAATACCATGGATACGGTGGTGTTCTTAGTCTTTAAACATCAAATAAATCTAGCCAGCTACAGAAAGCTTATTCTCTAATAAATTTCTGCCAAAGTCATGATAAATCAGTGTGGCTGATGTTGCTGTTGTTTGCACTGTGGAATACCTTTATTCCTCAGTAGAGGACCTCTGCATTGGCAAACTAATTGATACTGCTGTTTGAGAACATCTGGGCCTGCGTTTGAATCCAAGTGTTCTCTGTAAGCAAACCTGTTTTGATGCAGTGTGGCTCAGGGAAGTGCAGGTGGGACGTAGGCAATCCCTGGACAGTAGCAGCAGTGTGGGAGTGTTAACTTGAGCTCACACTGTCCCCGTGGACTATCCCTCACTCTTTAGCAGCAATTGATGTTGAAAGCAGCAAGTATAGGATCAATCTGAAAGATCTATACTGAGGTAGTATAATGTGGAGATACAAGTTTAAATACACCGTGTTTTGTCTGCCTCTGGGCCCATATTTCTAAGTATAAATACGAACTTACACAGTGTTGAATGCAATGGCCAGACAGGTAAAGGGAGGTGACAGTGTGCCTTTTTAGTCAACCTGCTATTTCTCCTTTTTCCAAATCCCATAGCTATTTTGTTATACAAATCACAGTGCTCTCAAATATATATATATATGTTGTTGTTGTTGTTATTATTATATTTTCCTAATAAGCTTCTTTTTTTTCTCCTCCCTCTCTCTACAGTTCTTTGCCTTCGTGGTTACCTGCTGCTATGCTGGAAACACATATTTTAGCTTTATATCTTGGCGATCACGAACTTTGCAGTAAATATATTGTTAAAATGGATCCTGTAGTATAAAATATCTGGAGAATTAAACTCTTTTGACAAAAGCCTGGAAGAGGAATGAGGTATTTTTGAGTATTTCTATTAGAATTGACACAATATATTTTAAGCTGAAATTAAAATGATTATTTATAATGTCATCTTTAGAGATACCTAACACCGGCTTTGTACTGTATAATAAAATTTCATACTACTTCTTTTAAAATTGACATGGCATTTTTTCCCAGACTTTGTATAGATGTTGTCACTAAAGCTTTAATAAATCTTACTCAATGTGCCAATTTTGTAAATGTAACTTTTTCAATGTTACAGGTATACTTTTGATACTGAATGCTACGAATGAAAGATAAGATTTATACTAGTTGTCATTATGTGACATTTGTGCAGAAAAAAAACCCAAACACCTAAAACTGTCAAAATAAAAAAATTAAGTGACCCACCTGTGCATGTTTTGTAAGCTGGGAGTACAAGGTTCTTTTTCAGAGTAAGATATATACTGTTACAGATTATCCTGTCAGTTTGCGTATTCTAACAGCATCTCACAATCATGACATTGCTTCTGGGAAGTGGTTACTGGAGGTCTGAAGCTTGCTGAAGGAGTTTTGCACCTGGAACACATGATCTTAATAGGTTTCTCAAATCCAGCAGGCTCCAAGGCATAAGTCTAGACAACAATCTCTTAGTGCTCAGTGTGTAACCTATTGAGAATGCCACAAAACACCTGCTAAAGGTAATACGTTTTATTTCCAAGGGGACTGTGTTCTTCTCTTTTCTCCTCAGATTAGACCATTAATCTGTCCTAATTAAAATCTGAGCTTCTAAATCCTGTTAAATGATACAAAGATTAAATTAAAAGAATAATAGTCCAGATGTCAGTACTAGAAACAAAGCATTTCCTCCCTCCTTTCCTGAATACTGGCATAATTTATGAGTTCTTAGCTTAACAAATGAAGATTTTAATTTGACACTCATATTTAAATATCTTTGAGTCAAGCAGAAGTATGACAGAAGATTATGACTTTCAAAATAGATACATTTAAAAATGACTTTGAAATACAAATTAAAGGAGTTTTTTTTCCAGGACTTATGTTAAGGAGAGTAAGGTTGTGATTATTTTGTAATATTATTTAAAGTTTTCCTAGTTTTAAAGCTACTAGTAAAACTTTTATTCCTGGATTAAGAAGATTCAGGCTTCCTTCTGGTCTTCAAAAACTTGGTTGGACAATTATAGATGGTAGCAGAGAAATCTTACTGCTTAAAAAAGCCTGCTTTATTTCTCCCTGTAACTAAATGGTGTGAGCTTACTTATGTGTGTGTGTGCTGCAGCAAAGATTTATCAACAGCCAGCTAATTCTGTTCTGATCACATTGTTTTGTACTTGATTATCTCTCAGAGTCACAGGATTTCAGTGTAAGAGAAGCCAAGATACTCTTCAAAAACCTATATTTGTCTGCAGGTTGCATCTGACCTGCACAACAAAGGTCAGGCTGTCTGCTGCTTTCTAAAATTATCCAGTTGTGAGAAGGAAGAAGGGCTACCAACTACACATTACATCTACACAGACAAAATGTGTCATTAGAATCCCATATGCTCTTTTCCATTGCTGGAACAAAATCAAAAGGCATAAAAATGATCCAAATATCAACTGAAAAAATATGACTAGAAATACAGCCAGAATTAAAATCTCATCAGTGTCTTATCATCAATAAAAATACTTTCATAGTAATACTAATTATTTCTTAAATGATATTGTGTTTACCTGTCTTAGAATTCTAAGAATGTGACTGTTGGCACAAATGTTTCATGATTTTGTGGTAACTGTAATGGTCTGGTCTAAAGTCATAACCCAGACAACATTTGTGGGTAGAGGTAGTAAGAGAGAGTAGAGCTAAGAGGGAATAATATGTTTCATGCAGTGTACCAAAAACTGTCATGGAAACTGTGTTCTGTGCCAGAATAAACCCATTAATGAAGGACAAAACAACAGTATTACCAGATAAGGAATTATCCTGGCAAAGTAGCTACCACCTCTGAGTTTTCCATGCTGATCCTCAAGGGAAGATGCGTGGAATGTCTTCCCAAAGGCAAATCTGTGAGTTGAATCCTTAATTCTGAACTTTAAGAAATACATGCTAGGCATAAATTTGCTTTATGCTTTGTCCTGCTTTTTTTCACACATCAAAACTTACTTGCCTTGCTCTTTCCTCTTAGAATATAATTTTCTTACTTCCTGTGCCCTTTCTCATCTGTCTCATTCCTTATCTGCTCCCTAGCTACCAACAGTGTGTTTTTTTCGTGTGTTGTGATTATCTAGTTGCAACTGGGGGGAATAACTGCAAGCTGAGAATTGCTTCTGAAGTTTGCTCCTCCCATTTCAGGCCTGAAGAAAGCCATAAGCACCCAAAAAGGTCAAAAAGGTTTATCTGCTTCTTCCAGTGCATTAGTCTTAAATACTGATTTGAAAATGATGACTTGGGCCTTTGTATATTCTTGTATTGGTAAAGAAGATAAGCCAGCTGTAGTTTATCATACAACAATTAAAACAGGATTTGTAGTAGAAGGGGTTGGTTAGTGTTCATAAGATTGAAAGAAACTTTATTTAAAAGAACAACTGCTAAGTGATTAAATCAATAGTGAAATTTTTCATACAGATATTGAGAAGAATAAACAATGCTAATCAACTTTCAAAATTAGGGTATTTGACATTTCAGGTAACTTGTTCCAGGCAAACAGTCTCTGAAAAATCTAGGCAACCCACATACATAAGAATACTTGATGTCAACTTATGGCCATCAAATCGCATTTATTAAGGAGTTGTAATCACCACACACAATGCACTTAACAAGATGAAGTGCATGAGGACTGTAAGAAAAACTTCAAATTCAGCAGTGCCTCTTAGATGACTTTGTGCCAGTAGTTCATGGAAGATGCCTGTATTTCTAAGCAGAAAACATGACTGTTACTCATATTCATTTAAGGGTATTTCATTTTCACTGGGCTGAACTCAGGTCAGCAGGGCCCCAGTCACATATAGACTTGCAAAAGAAGAACTGAAGAAGCTGAATCAGTGGGTATGGAATATATACTTATTAGTAGGAAGTGCAGAAGTTACTAGGACCTTCCTCCTCAGGGCTTTCAAGAAGCCCATAAATGTGCATACTTCTGAACTTGAACTGTAAGAAGAAGGGGGGGGAAAAAAAGCAGCTGTTTAAAAAAACCCACAAACCTTGTGTAGAGAGTCGATGTTGTAGCTTTGTTATCTAATTAAATGACATAAAGTTTGGTGGGACAGGTAATAATTGTGATTACTTGCTGGCTTAGTAGAAGCTCACAACTATGTGCTGCTCAGTCAATTACAGACCATTGCCTGCCCTGGCAAACCCTGCCTTGCTCATGTAAATTACTTATGCTGGCCCCTTATTTGTGTTGGAGATCATCTGATGTTACCTGTTTTCCCCCCTAGGATAACTGCAATTGCTGAAGGAGCTGTTAAATACTAACTGTGAGCAGAAGGTGCCTGCTAATGCAGAGCAGAGCAGAAGATGGGGTTGCTACCCTGAAGAACACGGCAGCGTCACATGAGCCGCGGGAAGGCCCCCTATTATCTCACTTGTCAGAAAGCAAAACAAGTTATTTTTAGACTTGAGGAAATACATAACTTCCTTTGCCGAGTTGTGCTGGTATCTCTGCTTTATTTAATGCGCGCCGTAGGCTTGAGACGTTTGGACAGTCGTGACAATTTTGCCTCTCGCTGCCAATTTCTTTCAAATGCTGTGTCTCGTACGAGATCGTGAATCTGAAGGTGATTTTTTCCTTCGGTGGGGTGAGCATTATTTTTAGACTTGAGGAAATACATAACTTCCTTTGCCGAGTTGTGCTGGTATCTCTGCTTTATTTAATGCGCGCCGTAGGCTTGAGACGTTTGGACAGTCGTGACAATTTTGCCTCTCGCTGCCAATTTCTTTCAAATGCTGTGTCTCGTACGAGATCGTGAATCTGAAGGTGATTTTTTCCTTCGGTGGGGTGAGCATACAGCTGTGCTGTGGCGGGACCTCCAGGGCGGAGCAGCTGCCAAAACCTGGGGGGGG